GTGTGTGTGTGTGTGTGTGTGTGTGTGTGTGTGTGTGTGTGTATGTATGTGTGTGTGTGTGTGTGCGTGCGTGCGCGTGTGCGTTAGTCGACTCGCTACCAAAATATCCTATAAACTAGTGAATCGATCTGAATGAAACTCTCAGGAACTAGATGTGCTGTAGCTGTTGAGCTTACGTATGATGTGGTAGTAGCTGAAAGTCATCCACATCACTACTCTGTGAGTGACATCTTGTGATATTGCACAAGATGTGCATAACTTTATTTTCAAGCCTTGATCTGCAGGTTCAGAGAATGTGGTTTTTCTTTGTGGTTAAGAAATTTAAAAAAAGGTCTCCATATTTGATCTAACCATGATTTAAATTCCTCCTGTCATTTGGCTACGTCTAACGTGTAGCCCTTTGCCATTCTGGTTGTTGCAGATTGGTCACAGAAATGTGATGAAACAATTTCTGTAATGAAACGACTTAAAGGCTTCAGCAAAACATGTGGAGCAGCTCCACAATAATCCGTTATTAGAAGCTCTGGCACCCAAGCCATCAGTGATGTGCGATCAAAAATACAACCCCCCCACCAAAAAAACAAAACAAAACAGGCCAGGCTACAAACCTGCTGCTACTGTAATAATCTTGTTGTGAAGGGTAAGCCAGTGGGGCAGTAAGAAATTGTTGCCTCCTTTTGAAGGGCGAAAGGAAATGTTTTGTTGTTTAACGTGAAGGAAAGCTGCCGTTTGGCAAATGTTGGATGAGTGCTCATGCATAATTAACTGGTGGCATGCTTGTTTGCACACAAGGCTGACCATCTTTGGGCATACTTACACTAATGGCCCCCCCTGAAAGAGGAAGGGTAAATCACAGATTATTTTTTCGGATGTAAAGATTGTGTTGATGCAATTTTTGTAATTGTCCTGGTGGGCAAAATGTGTTTTTATTTAATCACAACAATCAGCCTAAACTGCTCAGAGATTTTATATAAAAATACACTTAATGAAAAGAAGACATTTTATTAAAGGGCTTATTGTCTTGTAAACAAAAGTTTACGTGTTTACAAGTTTTTTCTTAGAATAACAGCAAAGTTAGTTGCAGTTTGTTAGCTGATCATTTGGTCCGTCATCAAAAAAGCCCAACATACATTTTAGTASTCGAAGCAACATTTTCTGTGCAAATCAAAGCAAACAGGTTTAAATTAGACCAATCACAGCCTCACGAGRCTGCTGAAAATATAAGGTTCAGTATTACTTGAGCTAATACATATTGCTTAATTCAACTGTCACAACTTGCAGCATGCGCTAAATCTATATATTTTCAGCTACTACCACACTAAACTTTAGCTCAATTTTTGTAATTTTAATGGGGAGTGGTGGGTATTATTATGCAAAATGAGCTTTCTTGGGCTTTATATTATGTTATGATGTCATTCCATCGTCAAAAACATACCCAGAATGTTGCTTTGACTCATTCATGTAAGTTTGAGAAATCCCCGATTCTCCTGTGGTAGCCACGTGGAGCTGCCTAAATGCTTGCTTATACAAAGCTCCGCCTCTTTACACAAAGCACCTCCCTGAGCTCCCACCTCACAGAGCACCCCTCCCCACACAGCTCCACCAGGCTAGCAAAATGTGTCTTAAGGATGGTGGATGTTTGTGGTTTCATTGCAAAACATAGCTTCATGATGATCTATATTTATAGTTTCTTTGCAAAATGTAGCTTAACATTGATGTATACATGAATGAGAGGATGACTGGGAGATACTGTATGTATTACCAAGCTGAAACATATTGTAAGAGCCTCCGTACTCACTCAGATTCTTCAGTAAACATTTTAAGTAAGATTCAACTGTGTCCCGTGTTGCCATTTTCAAAACTGATATTTTAAAATGTTGCTTGTGTTTTGACCATAAAATGCTCCTATGAAAGGTTGTAAATGGCATGAAGCGTTGTTGTGAAGATAAGCTGAAGGAGGAGTGTCAGTAACGGTAGGAGGTTCTTAAAGAGACAGAGGCCAATTTTGAGATGTTTGGATAGGCTTTAATGCAAAGTCACATTTCTTTATTAATATTTACAGCATTTTCATAATAAATGAAGGAATACAATTTAAGTATGTGCCTGGAAAATATATAATACTTATAGCCATTTTTACTTTAGCTAATATTGATTAGTTA